GAATGACGTGTATCTGCCATACAGAGCAGTGTCACTGTCCTGAAAATCCTCTTTTCTTCTTCTGTTTGTTCCTGGCAGCCACTAGTCTTTTACTGTCTCCATGTCATAGACTTGAAAGAGGATGTAGCCTTTTCAGATTGGTTTCTTTTACTTTGGAATATGTATTTAAGATTCTTCCATGTCTTTTTATGACTTGATAGCTCTTTCCTTTGTTGTGCTGAATCATATTCCATTGTCTGGATGTACCATAATTTGTTTATGTATTCACCTACTGAAGACATCTTGGTTGCTTCCAAGTTTTGGCAGTTATGAATAAAGATGCTATAAAAATCCATGTGCAGGATTTTGCATGGGTGTAGGTTTCAGCTCCTGTAGGTAATACCAAGGAGCACAATTCCTGGATCAGATGGTCAGAATATGTTTAGTTTTGTAGGAAACTGCCCAGCTGTCTTCCACAGTGGCCACCCATTTTACTTTCCCACCAGCAGTGAATGAGAGTTCTTGTTGCTCCACATCCCTGCCCACATTTGGCATTGTCAGTGTTTTGGATTTTGGCCATTCTATTAAGTGTGTAGTGGTATCTTATTGTTTTTATTTGTAATAACCAAAAAATATATGATGTAGAGCATCATTTTATATGATTATTTACCATCTATCTGTATGTCTTCTTTGGTGAAGTGTCTGTTCAGGTGTTTTGCCCATTTTTTAATTGTGTTGTTCCTTTTCTTAATGTTAAATTTTGAGTTGTTTGTTTATTTTGATTATGAGTCTTGTCAGACGTATCTTTTGCAAATATTTTCTCCCAGTGTGTGGTTTGTCCTCTCATTCTGTTGACATTGTCTTTCATGGAGCACAAGTTTTAAATTTTAATGACATTTTTTCATGGATTGTGCCTTTGTTGTCATATCTAAAAAGTCGTTGTCAAACCCAAGGTCATCTAGATTTTCCCTTGTGTTTTCTTCTAGAATTTTTACAGTTTTGCATGTTATGTTTAGGTCTTTAATTTCTCTTGAGTTAACTTTTGTGAAGAGTGTAAGGTCTATATCTAGCTTTATTTTGGCAGAGGGTGGGTGGGCAATGGATGTCCAGTTGTCCCAGCACCACTTGTTGAAAAGATACTTTGCTTCATTGTCATTTTATCAGAGGTGTATGTGTATATATTTAAATACGTCTTATATGTATTCTGGATATAAGTTCTTATCAGATATGTGATTTCAAATATGCTCTCCAAGTCTATGACTTATCTTTTTGTTCTCTTAATGATATATCTTTTGGGAAGCAGAAATACAATCTTTTTTATAGTCCATTAAGTAATTTAGCTTCCTGTTACATGTCTTGCTTTGAGTATTGTACCCAAGAAATCTGTGCTTTGCTTGAGTATACAAAGGTTTTCTTTTAGACTTTTTATGTTTTACATTTGGGTGTGTGATCTATTTAAGCCAATTTTTGTACATTGTGTGAGGTATTGATCTACTGTGTAACTGTTGCAGCACTGTTGAAAAGATTCATTTCTCTGTTGCACTGCTTTTGTGTTTTGACCATTGTTTGCCTATGCATGTGTGGGTTTATCTCTAAATCTTAAAGGTGGCACAAAACCTCCAATTTGTTTTGGCTTTTCTGAATGCTTTGTATGTCTGTATGAATTTTTGAATCAACTTTATAATTTTTAAAAAATTATTTGTTGAGACTCCTATTGGGATTGCATTGATTCTGTAAATTCCCTTGAGGAGAATTGATATCATAACAATATTGAGTTTTGTATTCCATGAAAAAGAATATCCTTTATTGATTTAGATCTTTTAAAATGTTATCTCAGCAATGTTGACAACTTTCAGTGTATAAGTCTTTTATATCTTTCATTAGAGTTATAACTAAGTACAGTCTTATGCCACCCAATAATATTTCTGTCAACATTGGACCACATATATGACAGCAGTCCCATAAGATTATGCCATATTTAGATACACAGATACTTACCATTGTATTTCAGTTGCCTACAGTATTTATTATAGTCACATGCTGTATAGGTTTGTAGCCTAGGAGCAATAGCCTTTGCCACATAGCCTAGGTGTGTAGTAGGCTACACCTTCTCGGTTTGTATGAGTCCATTCCGTGATGTTTGCACAGTGGTGAAGTCGCCTAATGATGGAGCTCTCCAAACATATCCCCATTGTTAAGCAGCTCATGACTGTATTTTATATATTTGATGCTATTGTAAATGATATTTTTATTTCAGTTTCCAATTGCTTGGTGCTAATATATAGAAATATAGTCCACTTCTGTATATTAATCGTGCTATATACAGACACCTTGTTAAATGCAATCAGTTGTAGTTTTTAATGGAAATTGTAGAAGATTGTCTACATATGTAAGCCGTCGTCGGAATAAACAGTTTCACCTCTTTTTGCCTCATCTACGTGCCTTTCAATTCCATCCCTTACATTATTGCACTCACGAGAACCTTCAGTACAATGTTGATTAGAGGTGGAGAGAACAGACATCCTGGCTTTGTTCCTAGTCTTGGGGGGAAGTGTCCAGTCTCCCCTTGTGTGGGATCTAGCTGTAGGTCTTCCACAGGTGATGCTTATCTGACTGGGGAGACTTCCTTTTGTCCCTAGTTTGCTGAAAACTTTATCAGGAATGAATATTGAATTCTGTCAACTACTTTTTTTTACACCTATGAAATGATTGTATGGTTTTGTTTTTTAATCCATTAATATAGTGAATTAGATTGCTTGATTTTTCCTTTGGTAAAGCAACCTAGCATTACTGAGATATAAATTCTGCTTTCCATGACTTTTTACTTTGTTATATATCACTGGATTCAATTTGCCAAAATTTGTTAATACTTTTTGCATCTATGTTTATAAGGCATATTGCTCTATGGCAGGGGTCCCCAAGCCCCAGGGCATGGACCAATACCTGTCTTGGGAAACAGGCCACACAGCAGGAGGTGAGAGGTAGGCCAGCAAAGCTTCATCTGTACTTATAGCCACTCTCCACTGCACTCATTACCACCTGAGCTCTATCTTTTGTCAGACCAGCTGTGGCATTAGATTCTCAAAGGAGCGCAAACCCTATTGTGAACTGCGCATGTGCGGGGTCTCGGCTGCGCGCTCCTTATGAGAATGGAATGTCTGATGCTCTGAGGTGGAGCTGAGGCCGTGGTGCTAGTGCTGGGGAGCGACTGCAAATACAGATTAATGTCAGCAGTGAGGTTTGACTGTACAGAGACCGTAACACATCAGTTGCTTACAGACTTATATCAAAACTCTATCGGGGAGTAGCAAGTGAGTTGATGCATGTCAGTTATACAGCTGCATCTGGTGGCAGGCTTTAGGTCAGAATCCGACACTTATTTTAGTCTGTGTCTGGCCTACCCATTGTTTTATTTACCACTTCTATCTGTGTCTCTTTTTCTCATGGTGAGTTTTATAATTTTTAATTATTTCATTATGTATTACAATGTGATAATAATAGAAATAAGGTGCACAATAAATGTTAGGTGCTTGAATCATCTTGAAGCTGTTCTCTCCTCCATCACCCCACCACCACCACCACCATCTGTGGGAAAAACTGTCTTCCATGGAACCAATTCCTGATACCAAAAAGGCTGGGGACTGCTGTGCTATAGTTCTCTTTCTTTGCAGTGTCTTTGTTTAGTTTGGTTATCAGATAATTGCTGGCTGCACAAAATTAATTGAAAAGTACTCACTCCTCTAAAACTTTCTGAAACAGTTTGGACTATAGACTTGGGGTTTTTTTGATTTTTTTTTTTTTTTTTAACTTAAATATTTTATAGAAGTCTCCAGTAAAACCACGTAGGCCTTGTGTTCTTTGTGAAAAGTTTGGTGTTTTGTTTTGTTTTTGAGTTGGAGTCTCACTTTCACCCAGGCTGGAGTGCAGTGCCATGATCATGGCTCACCTCGGCTTCAAACTCTTGAGCTCAGGCGGTCTTTCTCCCTCAACCTCCTGAGTAGCTGGGACTACAGAAGGCACTTGCCACCATGCTCGGCTAATTCAAAAAATTTTTTTGTAGAGATGAAGTCTCACTCTATTGCTCAGGCTGGTCATGAACTCCTGGGCTCAAGTAATCCACCCACCTCAGCCTCCCAAAGTGCTAGGATTACAGGCATGAGCCACTGCTTGACCAAGATTTTTAACTTTAAATTCCATTTATTTCATAGATCCAGGTCTATTGCAGTTAGCTCTTTCTTCCAGAGGAAGCTCTGGTAGCTTGTGTCTTTTAAAGAATGTTTCTATTTCATATAACCTGTCAGACTTATTAGCATGAAGTTTTTCATTTTACTGTTGGTAGAACCTGCAAGTGATGTTGCTGCTTTCATTCCTGATCCTGATAATTTGTGTCTTTGTGGTAATGGCCACCTCTGAATTCTGATTGTGATCCTGCCATGCTGTGACTCAGATCTACACTTGACATAATTTCATAGACTTGACATCAAAGCACAGACTTAACAAAAAGGGGAGTGCATGTTAAACACTGGTTAAATCTGAAGTAGACCTGTTCTTGGGTTAGTAGTGTATTTATGTTAACAGTGTATGGCATTTATGACAGTTACTACCACTGAGGAGAGCTCGGGGAAGGGCATACAGGAATTTTGTGTAAGTCTTAGAACTATTCCAGATAAAAAGTTATAGTAAAACAATTTTATTTTAGGGACTTGTTGAAAGGAGAAAGCTATTAACCCTGTATTTTAACCTACTTTTAGTATTTGAGCTGTTTAGAGCCTTTGTTGCGTAGTGTTATGGATATTATAATTCTTGCAAAACTTTATTTTAACATATTTCTTAGGTTATAAACAAGTTAACATGCAAGACTGGTTTAAAACCTTTTGATAATCTGTGCTAGGTTTTTTTGTATTTTGCATATTGTTTATAGGTTTCGTTAGCATGGTTAGTAGTAAAGTGTAACACATTCCATTGGAGTATCATGTTTTTAATATTTTTGGTTTTACCATTGGTTTTTCTTTTCTTTATAGCTTTACCTTTAGTCCAAGTGGATGAGAAGGGAGAGAAGGTCAGGCCAAATCAGAACCGCTGCATAGTAATACTGCGTGAAATACCGGAGTCCACCCCTGTGGAAGTAAGTAATTTCTCTTAAGTGTATGTGGACATTTTCATGAGGATCTTTGTTGGTTTCCTTTTTTTTTTTACTCTGTGTTTTGGATGGTGTAATTTTAAGAATAAGCGCTTACCAGTCATATTGTTTTCTCAGAAGTTACATACTAGTAGTTATACAGCAGTAGCTGTAACTGATTCACTTATAGCAGGAAATGGTTCTCAAACCTTTTGGTCTTAAGACTCCTTTGCACATTTTGCATTAAAAAGATACTGGCGTTTTGTGTATTTTGATATTTAGAAATTAAAAGTAAGTAAAACATTAAATATTTATTTATTTAAAAATAAGAATAGTAAACCCACAGGTTAAGATACAGAATACTTTTGTGATAAATAACTTTTCAAAGCAAGTATTTTCATGACAAGAGGACATTGTGAAGAACTCCTGGTGTACCAGTGAGGTTGCCCTGGGTCCAGGCCAGCATGCCCATTCAGTGATTTTGCACCATCAGTGCACACATCTTCAGGGTAAAAAATGCAAAACTGTCTTTTTGTGTGTGAAAATGGGGTCTGGAGATCATCCTCAGAGAACCAGTAACTTGGACAATAATTTTAAGGAACTATAGTATTTGGTGACTTAAGAATAATGAACGGCAGTCTATTGTTATATGTTGCTGTAAGATCTACGACATGTCCAAATGCTTAAACTAAGTTGCATTGTATAGTGAACATACTGATGGTTATGCCTTGAGATAATGAAGAAAAGTTTTTGTAGTAGGTGCTGGGAACTTACTGCATCCCACTGCAGAGTAGGGCATCTGCCTGCTTTGAGGAACTTAGGAAACCTCATTGGTCATCAGTCTTCACGTCTCATCATTTGTGTTACCTCTTCCCAAGCACCTTCTCTGCAGAGGAAATAGATCCTTCTGTTCATGCTTTCAAGATTTAGCTTTTCAGTCCTCGTGGCTTAGTGTATGTGAGGGTTTATGAAGGAAAACACTTGTAAAGTATAACAAAGGTGAGGATTTCAACAGAGTTTTCTGCCTAGGATAAGAAATTATATTACTCTCATATTTTTTCCTTGTACTTTTATCAAAGCTCTTAATATGAAGGACTAACATTTTTTATTACTAATCTGGATGTCTTTATTAACTCAAAACAATATTTTAAACATAGATCTTAATTTTCGAAACTTGAAGTATTTGTAAAAACTATAACCAAGTAAAATTTTCTTCATTTAGCTGTAGATGCTGATTTTGGTGTATTTATATTATTCAGAACTGCAAAACAATACTAGCTTACCATTAGTGAAGTATGAGAAAGTCTGTTAACTTTAAGCATTTACCGGAGTAATTTAACGGTATAGGACATTATAATCTTTGGAAATAATTTGTGCTTAATTAATTCACTTAGTACTTTCTGAGTGTAACTGGCTAATAAATTTTTATGAAGTTGTCCTCTTCTTTTGCTCTGGAATCTGGTATGAATATAGCCACCCTTGCCTTCCTTTTGAACATTAGCATAGTATGTGTGTCTTTTCCGTCCTTTCACTTTTAACTGTGTCTTCATACTTAAAGTGGATTTCTTATAAGTGGCATGTAGTTGAGTCTTGCTTTTCTTATCCAAAATATCTGAAAATTTTGTCTTTTAATTGGGGGTGTAGCCATGAACATTTAAGAGATTAACGACGTGTTTGAGTTTCAGTTTGCCATCACTATTTTCTGTTTGCCTCTTCTGATATTCATTTTCCTTCCTTTCTCCCCCTGCCCCCTTTTGGAATTAAATCATTATTTTTATCTCCCTTTTTTTTTTTTTTGGCTTATTAGGCATAACTGTTTGGTTTTTTTTTTTTATGGTTAAAGTAGGATTTTTAGTGACACTTTGGACTTTATCAGAGTCTGCCTGTAATTCATCGACTACCATTTCTCTTTACCTTACAACCATGCTGTTCCATCTGCTACCTCTGGCCTTGTGCTGTTGTCACACATTCTAATTCTGTATAGTCACAATCCCACAGTATATTTATCCAGTATGTGCCATACCCAGTGCTTCTGTGATCTGGACTTTCATTCTGCCTGAATATTCCTTTAATATGTCTTGTGGTACAGGTCTGCTGGTGATAAATTATTGTCAGCCTTAGTGTGTTTGAGAAAACCTTTGTTTCACCTTTATTTGTGAAAGGTGTTTTTGCTATGTATAAATTTCTGGATTGATGATATTTTTTTCCTTTCTGTGTCTTAAAGCGGTTCTCTTCTGATCTGTGTTGTGTCTGACACTGCTGTAAAAATTTCACTACTGGTTTTAAGCAGTTTGATTATAGTCTCCCTTGTAACTTTCAAGCTTCTTGTACTTAAGGTTCATTGAGCCGTAATTTCGTCACGTTTTTCCTCTTCTCTCTTTCATCTTTTTCTCCAGAAAGTGTCTAGCCAGTGGTTAATCCTTTTCCATGTAGTTTTCATTTCAGACATCATACTTTTCATCTCCAGAAGTTTACTTTGGATCTTTATTTTTTTTTAATTCCATATCTCTCTTTAAATGTACTCGGTCTTTACCTTCTATCACATATGGAATACATACACGCACACGCACAATAACCATTTAATGTCTACTAATGCTACCATCTGTATCATTTCTAGGTCTGATCTTTCTTATTATAGATCATATTTTTCTGTTTCTTTGCATGCTTGTCAATTTTTGCTGGATGCCAGGCATTTTGGATTTAACTTTACTGATTATTTTTGTATTCTTATAAATACTCTTGAGGTTTATTTGAAATGCGGTGAAGTTCCTTGGAACCAACTTGATCTTAAGGAATTCTTATGAGGTGGAATCAGAGAAGCCTCTCCTAGGGCTCTCTCTTCCCCCTTGTCGAGGCAGTGCCCTTCTTAGTACTCTTACTGGCATCCTGTGCATTTAGGAGATGTTTCCCCGGGGGCTGGTGGGAAGACAAGCCCTCCCCACCAGTGAGCTTGCTGTGGGACTGTTCCGTGAATCCTGCCAGGTGAAAGACCTGTGGGCTGTGTGGGTTCAGCCGTTGGCCCCACGGCCTGGACACTGTGGGCTCCCTGCTCACGTCCCTCTCAGGAAGCACAGTCCTCTGCTGCCTGATGTCCAGGGTCTGAACACCATCATTTTATATAGTTTTCTTTTGTTTCTCATTGTGTCATATGGTGAGGTAAATCTAGTCCATCTTGGTCAGACGCAAAAATCCAGGTAATTTTTTTTATTTCTTAAATTGCCTTTTTCTTTTTTTTAAGTATGTAATTATTAGCTTAGTAGTAAAACGATACGATATTTTTCCACATTAATTTAGCCTGTAGTATCTTGAGAGTAGAGAAAATTGTCAGTAAGTTGTGTAACTGTTTTTCTATGGCATTGTGATTCTGATTCTTAAAGCCCCTCTGAACCCTTCTGCCTCTTGAAGGAGATGCTTAGTGGCTATCATGGTATGTTGGGCTTTGTTTAAAGATAGATCTTTAAGAGGATGCATTTTAAAAAAATACTCTTGAGGATTAAAAATGGCATAACTGAGAATTAATTTCTGACATCTCTGTTTCCTGTAGGAAGTAGAGGCACTATTTAAAGGAGACAACTTACCGAAATTTATAAACTGTGAATTTGCCTATAATGATAATTGGTTTATTACATTTGAAACAGAAGCTGATGCACAACAGGTAAGCTCTTTCCACTACTACCCCATGAAGTATGTTGTTTACCAGTGTTTAATATTTGTACACATTGAGATTCCTGTCACATTGTGATGTTACGATTGAGTAGAACGTGCAGAGAAAATCTGGTTGTAGGAATGTAGGTGGATGTATTGTGTAGACAGTTTTTGTAGCAATATAAGAAGCACATGACATCACTTTCCAAGGACATTGTATGATAAGCAGCCTAGGAAAACCAGTTCTTTTCTAATATTGGGTCAGAGGAAAGTTGTACTATTTGCAAAGTGTTTGGGGGCCATTTTAGCCTAACCTTGATCTTTCAGTAGGCATCATTGCTTGTGCAAGATGCTCATAACAGTATTGAGAAGCTCTGTGAGGAGATATAAGGAGTTAAGGTAGTTTTTTTTGCCTTTAAAGGAAGCATCTTGTTTGAGGGAGACAAATTAACACATCTAAAGGAATGCCAGTATGTTGTAAAGTGTTACATGGTATAAACAGTATGGGGGTTCAGAAAAGAAAACACGAAAACCTGAAAGATGGATTTTAATTGGATGGAAGGGAACAGAGGGGAGTGGGAGATAGAATCACCATGCTTGTGTAGTAGAGTGAGCTCTGCTGGCCTGCATGGTGAATGTGGTTGGATGAGATGGACTCAGAGATGCGGGGCCTCCAGCGTTACAAGGGTTTAGTGTAAACCTGATGTGGCAAAGACCCAGGAAACATGGCACTGGGTACTCTTGGATATTGTGATCCCAGTGTTCTCCCTTCCTGCATAATTCCAGTTTCAAGTTAGGATGAATACTAGGAACTCCACATTTGTCATTTCCCCCTAGGTTGTTAGCCTGTGGTCTGTGGGAGACTTTTTTGGTATCTATTAATACAAAACAGGACACAAGTCTTGTTTTAGAGAGTTTTGAGTAGAGGTTCTACAGCTCTCATAAGGTTATTTTAAGGGATCTATGACCCAAAGAGGGTCAAGGACCACTGTTCTAGGTCCTGTCCACCATATTTTAATTATGTCATTTCTTATTTGAACTACTAAATTAAGATAATCAGTTTATCTTATTTATAAGTTAACACAATGGAATTTTGTACTTCATTTTGCCCTTAGGCTTATAAATATCTGAGAGAAGAAGTAAAAACTTTTCAAGGAAAGCCGATTAAGGTAAGCAAGACTATTGCACTTTTAAAACTTTTCAAATTGATGTCCCTAGATGTTGTAATATAAATTAGTGTGTTTTCACACAGGCACGGATCAAAGCAAAGGCAATAGCTATAAACACATTTTTGCCAAAGAATGGATTCAGACCCCTGGACATGGGCCTGTATGCCCAGCAGCGCTACACACCCCCCTTCTACTTACCTCCTGTGTACAGCCCCCAGCAGCAGTTTCCTCTCTACAGCCTGATTGCGCCTCAGACTTGGTCAGCCACCCACAGCTATCTCGACCCACCCTTGGTATGTCTTCTCTTTACTTGGAACTTCATTAACAGGATTTTAAGCTGTGGATGCGGAATTAGGTACTTGGAAGGATTAAAGTTCTAGCCTGACGGGAAACCAGATAGGTATGCAGTTTGCCGTATACTTTAAATGTAGTTGGTGGACTTTAAACGTAGTTGAGCATAAGGACAGCTGTCCACACAAGCCACTCTGGAGTGCTGTGGTCATAGTTCTTGCTCAGTCCCTCTCCCGTCATGAGCTCCTGGTCAGACACACAGTGTGGTAAGAGCTCCCTGGTGCCTGGTGTTCTTCTGATCACAGAGGGAAATGCGAGATTTACTAAGGAGAAAGAGGCATTTAATAGGCATCTCACAGCCAGGGACAAGTAGAAAATATGCTGTCTCTGAAGCGTTACTTTACTTCCCAACAGCCTTAGAGTTGACCAGCATGATTAATTTTACAGATTTTGGCCTTTTCAAAGACCTGTGGATGGAATTCACACATTTGTAATGGGACCAGTCATTTTTCTCTATCCTCGGTAGGTGCTAGAAAGATCGGGTGGGCCCTGGCTGGGCATTAGCTGGAGTCTAGTGTGCTGGGATGCCAAGAATCAGCCATACTCTGTGTCCTTGAAGCTGAGGCTTGGGTTAAGAGCAGAAGGATGGGTGCGGGGACTGGAGGTTTGCCTGAGGAGATGCTGAAAGTCTAGCTGGAATAGGAGAGATGGAAGGGCAGAATGCACCGAGGTTGTGCTCAGAAAGTAAGTTGTTAGCCTTGCGAAGAGTGTGTGTCCAGGATGTGGCTGTGGACCAAGTCAGGGCGTGACTGGGTGGTCCTCGGGTTCAGCTGGCTGGAGCCGGCCATCTCTTTTTGTGGGCTGTCTCCATTGAAAAGCAGAAACAAGGGTACACCCGGAAGAGAGAGGACTTGAGAGAGGCAGTGTTGACCCTATGTGGATGGATGGTGCCTGCTACACACTAGAAGGCAAAGATGTCCATGAGAAAACAGGCTAGAAAAGGCAAATATGTCAAGCTGGCGGTGATTGCAAAAATAGACACATATATAAAATACCACTAAATTTATAATTAGAGGGTTTATTGGGTATTATGTCAACATCAGTTTATATGTGAATTTATCAGAAGGGGTCAAAGAGAAAGAAGCTTCATGAGAATAAACAGTATGCACAGAAACAGATGGTCACGAACACGTGAGCACTTGAGATAAAGCCTAGTCTGGGCATGAAGGGCCAGGGAGCAGACTGCTGAGTGACCTGACCAGACCCTTCAGGCTCCCACTGTCTGGAGGCTGCTGAGTGACCCGGCCAGACCCCACAGGCTCCCCACTTTCTGAGGCTGCTGGGTTACCTGGCCAGACCCTGCAGCCTCCCCATTCCCCTGAGGCACATGGTCTTGTGGGAAGTCTACAAGGCTTCTAAGCAGGGGTTTGAAATCATACTCCATGTAGAAACTAGCTCTTATGGCCGTGTGAAGGGCAGGCAGTGGCATCGACATGTTAGCCGAGATTGCCAAAGGGCCTGTGACTCCCCCAAAAGTCTGGAGCCACTGCACTATAAGAACCTTTGTCAAAGTTATTTCTCTTTTGAGCAGATCCTAATGGTAAGGAAAGGTACTTTAAAAAAAAATTTTAAATGGTCTATAACCTTAGAGGAATTTCAGTCTGGAGACTCTTGCTGTTAACAGTCTTTGGGATTGGCCATAATGGGAAACTGTCAGGGGAGGGGGGTGGGATTGGCAGTTGAGGAAATTGTTAGGGGAGAGAGGGGCATACCTCCTCAACAAGGGTACCTGCATAATCAATGTTTGTATATACCTAACCCTGAAATTTACCCCACATCTTTATAATAAATAAATTAATTAATTACGTTAGATAATAAAAAAAGTCTTCCCCAAACACACTTGCCACACCTGTCTCGTTGAGGTTTTCCTCAGTCGGTGGTTCTCCCTTTTCTTTAATCTTATTTGTCCCTGTCTGGTTTGAGACTCTCGGATCCTGGGTCAGTGATGGCTTCAACTTGTGTTGTACATTCAGGTGGTGTCAGCCACTTGGCTCTGGTCTGGGTCTGTGAGGGCAAGGTTCTCCATCAGGCCCTTCTGCTTGTTCTAAAACATACATGTCACTTGGAGCAAGAGTGAAGAAAGGTGCCTGTTAATTCTCAGCATATTGCAATATCAAGTTATTGTGTTAGTAGCCAGTTGTATTTTTTAACTCTTGGGCAAAATTACTCCAACACCTCCAGAGTTCTGTTTGTGAAATTACATATGTGATTACAGACTACAGAGTTTCTTAAGAATTACTTACTTTTTTCCTTTCCCACTTCCCTTTTTTTCAAACAAGGAGGGACCTAGACATATCTCTGTCAATTTAGTGAAAATTTAGGGTGAAGGCTAGAAGGCTCCAAGGAGTTAAATGCCCTTGAAGGAGAAGTGTCAGTTATACAGAGTGTTTGAAACCACTTGTCCACAAGCCTGAAAGTTAGGGATTGCTCTCTTGACCTTTTTTTTTTTTTTTTTAAACCGTTTTAACACTGTTTCATCTTATTTTTGTGTTTTTCTAGGTTTTTTTAATGGTTGACTGATACTTAAAATTCTGAGCTTAATATTTTTAGCTTTTAAAGATTATATTTAGAATTATATCTTTTAAGTGTTCTGTAACTTTTTCTAATTTTCTTCCTGAATTTCATGTCAGTATATTTGTATGCCGTGTATCACCTTAAATTGTGACTTGGGGAATAATCATTTATAATCTGAAAATACCCTGATCTTCAAAGCAAGGTTTGCATGGATTTAAAAAGCAGCACACTCTGAGTCTGTGGTTATGACACGAGCCAAGTTAGGAGCAGTGGGCGTTTACGTGTTACAAAGATTGAGAACCCGATGAATTTTTATTGAAGTCATTAGGAATAAAGAATTGTTTACTTCTTACCAGTAATGGAGGTAGTGTTATTAGTAACTGTTAGGTTAATTATTTGGACTTTTTCAGACAAATGTGCTAAAGTGCACAACACTGTTCGGGAACCCACGTACTCTTGAACCAGTTTCTTTCCTCTCAGTGTCAGTTTCCACATGAGTAAATTATCTTTCTCATTGGGTTGTTGTAAGGATTAGGTGATGAAATGCAGCAAAAGTTCTTAGCTCAGCCTGGCCATTGTGAGTCCTCACTAAATATCAGCCACTAGTAGTATCTTATATAAAATGCATTTCTCAACCTGTAATTATTTTTAAGTATAACCTGGAACATAACGTCTCTGACAAGATTAAGAAATTACCTCGATTTCTGCAATTTGCTAGTATTAACCAAATCGAAGTCTGTCTTATGGTTTGTTACTTGCTTGTTTTGTTTTTTTTTTTTTACTGACTCTAGGTAGCTCCATTTCCAAATACTGGATTTATAAATGGTTTTACGTCTCCAACATTCAAGCCTGCAGCATCTCCTCTGACTTCACTCAGACAGTATCCTCCCCGAAGCAGGCAAGTTCAAAAGGGTCCTAGCACTTGCGCATTTTGTGTCACTGCTGCTCTAGGACCTGTGTGAGAGATTTGTCCACTAGTAGCATTCACCACAGGGAGAGCTTTCTCAAGTACACAGCTGCATTTTATAAAGACTAATCACCAGAATCCTCTTTAGATGCCAACGTGTAAAAGATAGAGTCTCTTCAGAGAAGGCTTTGGGGCAACTTGCGTGTACCGGGTGTGCCTCCTTTTTTATTTGGGCTTGGACTTAAAAACAGTGAAGCAGTGCTGTGATACATTATTGATAGGTTGGCGTTATCCTGTATGCTATGTGTTAGTTACTCCAAGTCACATTTTTATATTTCATCAATAGAAAGCAGCTTTAGATAGTCCACATTGGCGTGCTCATTATGTAATGCTTTGATTGTTTCATAACTGAGCAAATACAAACATTTTGTTTACAGGAATCCTAGTAAATCTCATCTGCGCCATGCGATTCCTAGTGCAGAAAGAGGACCTGGGTTATTAGAAAGTCCTTCAATATTTAACTTCACTGCGGATCGATTAATTAATGGTGTCCGGAGCCCACAAACGAGGCAAGCAGGTCAAACTAGAACACGGATACAGAATCCTTCGGCATATGCCAAGAGAGAGGTCGGGCCTGGGCGCGTGGAGCCAGGCAGTCTCGAGTCTTCTCCTGGTTTAGGGAGGGGAAGGTGAGTTGTTGTGCAGCTACTCTGTTCCTTTCAGAAACTATATTAATATTTCATCATTATTTTAAAATATATCACAGAAAATCAGGTTGGAGGCTGTAAACATCAAAGGTTTTAGGTAATGACTGTGCATGGTTACTTTTAGAGCAGAGACTTAAATGACTTTATCTTATTTGTAATATGAAACAGTTCAATGAGACCTGTAGATGGAATTGAACTGTTTTAGATCATGGTCATTATTTGTAGAGACTTGGGAGCCTGACTGTCAGACTCCCTTCCGGGTGCGTGCGGTCTCCCCTTGGTTGTGTCCTTGGCCTACCAAGCCAGGCCGCTCTGCTCCGGTTCACCCACTTCTGACAGGGAAGTCTCCAGGCTCTGTCCCACTGCTCCTGGCTGGTACTGAGAGAGGAGATAACTAGAGAAAGCCTAGGCATGCAGACAGGGTGGGCCCCCCAGTACAATGTAGCGAACTTCCAGCAGGCCTCAGCTGAAAAATTCGTATCAGCACTCTTTCCAGCTGGGAATGCGGGAGATACAGCAGCCAGTGGGAGCTAAGAACTAGGCAGATTAGAGTTTAAATTCCATTCCTGTTCAATCTACTTAAAACAGAAACTGCCCATGAAGTGGCGCCTGCTAGTCACATGTTCCCACACCCAGCAGTAGTCACCCCCCCACCCCAGTACCTACTACAGTCATTACCTGGCGTCCAGACCCCAGCTCCTTCCAGAGTGCCCTCTGACACAGCACTCTTGTCCACCTTGCTTTCCCCCAGCTGTCGGAACTCAGCTAGAATGAGGCGGGTCCTCAGCTTCTCAGCTATTGCTTTGATAAGGATGTCAGAAATTGCCTCTCATGAATTATGGGCAAGTGACTCAGCCTACCCGAACCTTTTCTTTTAATCCACCTTGAAAAGTTAAAATGAAAATACTTCTAAGTTTTCTGAACGCGGAGTACGCAGCACCACGCCTGACATGCCGCAGCACCTCCTCCTCCACTGCGTGTGTGCTCACAGTGCTGGACCCTGATGGCGCAACTGTCCCTTCCTAGGGGGGTGAAGGGAAGCCCTGAACGATCTGTGTGGTACAGGGAAGGCCGCGAGCTCTGGTGGGACTGGCCCTGGACTGCGCTCTGTCAGGAAAACTCGCTGTTTTCACAGGAAATATTTGGTCAGGTTGGTTCAGCAGGCCCTGGAGAGGGAGAGGCAGAAGGGGCCCATGAGTTGCACAGTCAGTGACTTCCGGGAGCCCCTGCCTGTCCCTAAACTGAGTGTGAGAGTCTTAGTGCCTGGAAGCATGGAGGTAGGGGCTGGCAGAGCTGGACTGAGACCTCCAGGGACTCAGGCCAGTGTGGGTCCCTCTTGGGATGTCAGCTGTGGGCACAGTGTGGAGAGAGGTGAATTAGAAGGACAGGGCCTGGGCCCGCTAACCCATCCTATGCAAAAGGAACAAGAAGATCCCCGCAAAGGGAAGTGGGGTTTGCAGCATTCCAGCCACAACACTGCCAGGCAGTGCACAGGGGTGGGTCTGCGCCTCGTCATACCTCGTCAGCTGGCGTGGCCCGCCTGCATGCCCTTCAACAGCATTTGAACTTCCACCCTTTACCTGGCAGGTGCAGATTGTGGTGCTCTCCCCATCCCTTCGGCAGGGAGGGTGGCTGTTCTCCCATCTGGATAGCCTGAAACCCAAGCACAGCAGCCACAAGAGTGACTTAGTGGGCTTAACTCGGCCATGTGCAGCAAGCCAGGGCCCGCAGGCATGCTTCTACCATCTATGCCTGCAGCGGGTCATGGGGCCAGAGCTGGCCTTCCCTCTGCCTTCAGGTGCTCTTCAGTGGGAAGGGTCTCTCGAGCACCCTTCCTGGAAGCCTCGTCCGTGTAGTCATGCCCCCCACATCCCCTTGTGGGGGAGGTTTGTTTTGTTTTCCGTTAACTTCTTCTATTGCGCTGAAGCGCTAAGCGGTCCCAGCCCCCAAGAGGGTCTAGACATGCTTCTCTACCCCATGCACAGTGGCCGCTGCCAGGGCGTGTAGCTCCAGCTGGGCTCGGTGGTGTCAGGACCCCAGGTGCCAAGTGACTGCCTCAGTGGAGCCACTGTGAAGTTTCTGAGGAAGCATGCTTCTTGGGGCCTAAGACATCACACCATTGCAGTCATGGTTATGGGTGTCACAGAGACTTCTCCATGGTCCTGGAGTCACCCTGGCCCACCTTGGCCCCCTCATTGACCTTGGCTCAGCAGCCTGTGCTCTGCATGACAGGCCCTGAGAGTGACACTGTTCTGAGACTACCAGTGGGCTTCTAGGTCTGATGCAGGTTGCATGGAGCCATAAGAACTTGGGGAGGATTGGTTGGCTGGCCCCCTGGTGGTGGCACAGACCGGATCCATGGCAGCTGGTCCGTGTCCAGGATAGCACTATGTCCCCATAGATGGGTGCCACTGCCATCAAGCCAGTGGATTTAAGCAGGCTGCCATGGTGAGGGGACGATACCCCAGTGCCGAGCCTGTGTGGCACTTCTACAGGCGCTCTGGGGCAGACAGATAATCACCGCAGGGTCCTCGCCACCAGACTCAGTCCCATCCTTCTCAAGGTTCTTTCCCACCAGGTCACTGGCTCCTTGCCCAGGTGGTGCCATCTTTCACTATTTCTGAGCCCAGACACTTGGGCTTGGAGTTTTGAGCCCTGGGCTCAGGCACCCCCGATTAGGGTGTGTCACTGTACCCTTGCTACACTGTATGTGATCCTCCATGATCCTGGTCCTGGACTCTCCTGAGCCAGACTTCCTGAACAACCAGCCCAGGTGTAGACTGAGGACAAGGAGGACAGGCGGTGGCTGCCGGGCCTCATCCTCTGCATGTGGCCATCCTTATGGGTGGCTCAAGGCTGTGGTCACTCCCTGCCCCATCGTCAGGCTTATAGTCTGTGAAGGCCCAGTGGAAAGCCTGGTGCTGTTTCTGGGATCATTTTCTATAGGAGACATCATGGCTTTACCCCCAAACCGTAAACATTTGTGTCATACTTCCCCTGGAGAGGCCGACCAGGGTCCACAGAGTGTCCCTGCTTGGTTCACAGGGGAGAGGAGTTCAAGCTTGTCGTTTTGATTATTATGCTGTATTAGGCAAGACTACATTTTGGTTTTATATAAAGGAAGGAGCTGGTGAAGATTATTTCTTATCTTGTTTCCAGCTTATGTAATACAAGGCCCTTGGGTAGCCTTTGCATTCAGTCAAAATGATCCGGAGATACATAAATGAAAATAAACCTATAAATTGAAATTAATGTGTGGCTTGCTGGACCACATAGGCCAGTCCAGGGCTGTGGAAATGTCTTGGCCATCATAGTGCCTCAGGGTCTGATGTGAAGTCACCATTGAATAAATGATTGTGCAGTTATAGACTGCAGTGCGGGGTGTGACCTTGCTGCTACCAGGTTCTGGTCCTGAATGCAGAATCTTACGGTTTTTGTGAAAGGGGTCCACCGTTGAAGCAGTAGTAGTTGAGGCTGAGAGGGTGACGGAGGGCAGTTGAAACAGACTGTTTGGGGCCTCTTGAAGTTGCTGAGCCAACACAGGTTTGATAAATTCTCACCACCATTTCTGACAACTCACCAGTGTCGTTCAGAATTGAATTTTATACATCTTCATGAATATCCAGCACAGTGGATATTCAACTCTCATATCTTAGCAAAAATTTTAAGTGGCCACCAGGTATCTTATTTTAATATATGTTTTTCTTCTTCTTCTTCTTTTTTAACCTATCTGGATATCAGTTTTTATTCTTTACTATAAACTTTTTGTTGTTATTTTGCTTATGCTTCCTGAAGTTGGGATTTTAGAATCAGGTCACCTTTGAAAGATGCAGCATAATAAAGACTGGATTGATACTTGCTTTGAATATGTAAATGCAGGCGTGCACAATGAAAAATTTTCCAAATGGGAAAAAAGTAATAGTCTTTTACTTTTCACTCCTCTAGGAAAAATTCCTTTGGCTATCGGAAGAAAAGGGAGGAGAAGTTTACAGTGAGTACATAAAACATGTCCTTTTTATGAGACATTTAAATCTAATTTGTACTAAACAAACATGAGATTTCATTAAATGGATTAAGGTTAAGACACAAGAAGAAGCATTTCAAAAGTCTTTTAGTGTGAAATTCGTTAAGGAATAACTACGTGTTTGACAGCCTAAGGAGGAAGCGATTTTGGGCATTTTAGGAACATGGACATGTTAAGTGTGATTCGTAGTACATAGACGTGTGCTGTGGAGCTAAGTCTAGCCAAGTGCATCCTCTCGGTCAAAATGCAGCCTTCATGCAGGCGTCCAGTGAGTGCTTCTGTGTCAGGGACCGCTTTGTAGAATTTGGAGTAACGGGCCATTCATTTCAACTAGCAGAATAAGCTGCTCCTGTGTGGGGATTTGTTGGTCTGTATTTTTCATTCAAAGCACTTTAACGTGTACCCACTGTGTACAAAGCATGATCGCCTTCTGCTATAACTTACAGACGAGACAAACCCACAAATGAGTAGTGAGGTCATGAGTAGTGAGGACATGACGTGGCTGTTTTTGCTTGGATCGATTAAAGTTTCCCTGTGGAGTGGAGGCTGGTGTAGGCGTCCAGTGGTGGGAGAGCATTGTGTGTAGAGTCAGCAGGACATGTGCATACATTGAAGGGATGCACTCTGGACTTGCAATTGTAGAATTCCACACTGGGAGAGCTGGAAACGGCCAGGAGAAATTCCTGGTCTTGTCCTGAGCCATCAGGTATGTGCTTTCTCTCGCAAAAGATACGTTCTTTTTGTTTAGAACTCAGAAATTCTACCTTTTGTAAGGTCGGCGTAGTCTAGTTTTTGGTCAGTCCCTTGGTAAGACAGTTTCTGTCAGTTTATTCCAGTTGGAATTAGTGAATTCCTGTGACTGTTGGGACGAACAGGGTGAGCCTCTGAATGTCTGCTAGGAAACGGGTGGGTGCTGTTGGGCCTGCCATGAAATTTCCCCCTGCTGTTTCTGTTCCATTCTGTTTTGTCTTCCTGGCTCATGTGTTGAGAGCCGTGACCTACTCAGAAGCTCTTGGGTACAACTCTTGTGTTTATTACAGGGAGCATAACCACCGTTGTACGTGCCTACTCTGATACTCTTGAAAGCATACACGTGCTGACACACACACGTGCCTAGGACCCAGCCAGCCCCATAGGGCCACCAGCAGCACTCATTCCTCACCCAGAAGCGGCAGGGCCTGCGGACATCCA